TCAAAGGCTCCAGTGTATTAATTTAATATATATACCTGAATATTAAGATGAAAGCAATTTTCCATTAACTGCCAGTGACCTCATTTGTTACACTCAGCCCTAGAGGGCCTCGAACCTCTGACTAGTCTTACACGGTCTGCAACACCTTTTGGTTTTCTAACTCCAGGTCTTTGTACAATTCATTATTATATTTGACTTTATCTTCTTGAGCTACCCTTTCAAACTTTCTGTTCAGCTCTTTTACTTGCTCACTTCTTCCATTTGCTTTAGCATCTTTATGCTGGACAGCAAGTTTCAGAGTCTCTTCTGACATCCATTTTAGTCTTTTCTTTCTTTTCTGTCTTTTTTAAATGACCTTTTGCATTCTTCCTGTATGATGTTCTATGCCATCCCACAACTCTTTTGGTCTTCAGTCGTTAGTGTGTTCTTGAGATCATATATCTTCTTGAGATCATCTCTAAATTCAGGTGGGGTAAATTCAAGGTCTTATTTCGGCTCTTGTGGAGTTGTTTTTTTAATTTTCTTCAGCTTCAACCTGAACTTGCATACGAGCAATTGATGGTCTGCTCCACAGTCTGTCCCTGGCCTTGTTTTGGGTGGTGATACTGAACTTTTCCACTGTCTCTTCTGTGTATTCCATCTGGAGAGGTCTGAGTGTATAGTCATCTTTTGTGTAGTTTGAAAAAGTTAATTGCAATGAATAAGTCATTAATTTTGCAAAATTCTATGATACGATTGATACGATCACGATCTCCAGCATCGTTTCTACCACCAGGGACGTATTTTCCAACTGCTGATCCTTTCTCTTTGTTTCCAACCTTTGCATTCCAATCACCACTAATGATCAATACATCTTGATTGCATGTTTGATCCATTTCAGACTGAAAAGATTGTTGGTGGTGCTTATGTGCTGTAGAGTCAGTTCCAACTCATGGCGACCCTGTACAAGGTTTTCAAGGCTGTACATCTTTACAGGAGCGGAAAGCCTCATCTGTCTCCCACGGAACCGCTGGTACTTTTGAACTGCTGACACTGAGGTTGGTAGCCCAACTCATAACCACTACACTACCAGAGCTCCTTGAAAAGATTGGTAGAGGACAACAAACAAGATGGCGGATC